CGAAGTGGGAGCTCGACAGTGAGCAAAGAATGGGAAACGGAGACACCTGAAGCTCAAGTGACGTTCAACAGCATGGAGAGAATCTGTTTGTTTGGAAACAAAGCAAAGATATCTGAGTACAATCCATCTCCTGACCCGCAGAACACACTTTCCTTCCTAATGTAATGAATTTCCCAAACAATACGACGTTCCCAGTTGAGGTGGAGGGAGTGTTACCTGTTGATCGTATCATTTACTTCTGTCAACAAGTCACACGAGAGGCTCACTTACTAAAAGGCAAGGAAACCAGAAGTAATCACACGTCCCGTTTGCTTTGCCTACTGCAGGAGCTGAACTAAGGGTTTAGGGCATATGAGTAGGCATTAGGAGAGCGTGCAACTTTCCCTCTGAGAACAGGCTTTCAGGATTGCTGCAGTTGTCATCTTCGTTCGCTCAGTTTGGCTAGATTTTTGCCGGTTGAAGCAATAGGAAAATCCGAGACTGACAGTATTTTTTAACACGACATGAAGTCCTGTGTAATAGGCTCCATCAAAAAAATAGTCACTTTTTTTTTTTGCCATCACAGCTGTAATGCAATTTCATGTGGTGTCCTTAAGATTGCTACACACACTATAATTTCTCATACACAGCTGTCAGCAATAACCTTTTGTGGCAGCAGAGAGAAAAATTCCCTGAAATACATATTTGTCTAACATATACTTGTAGACCTTAAATCCTGTCTAACCACATACAGCTGTGTTTCTCTGATCTCTGGTGCAGTGGAGGATTGTGCTTTTTGCTTGTAGGTAGAGCAGAAGCGGCCAGCAAGATCTCGGAGGGGATTTGCAGTCCAGCTTCAATTCTGCTCGGACTTGGCACCCTCTGCAGTCCTCCATATGCAGAGTAACATAAAATATTTTCTGTTCCTATCGTTTGGTTTTCCTTCTCTGATTCTGAACGCAAATAACAGTTTAACCTAATGAGAAGTCAGAGGAAAAACCCTAAAAAGATGGTACAAGTCAAGGACAGATGGGGGTGGCACGATTCACATGAATACCAAACACCCAGCGGTGGGTATTTCGTTTCCCGCTGCCTCTCCTACTGTCGCAGACCAATTTATATTTTGCACCTCAACAGGAGATGCCCCATTGTGGGCAGAAACTTTTAATGATCCTCAGCTTCCCATGTGCTGCTCTGGAAGCAAGCTCTCAAGAACGAAGAAGATTTTGCAACATATTATTCCTATAAATAAAAATGTATTTCTCACCAGGAATTCTATCCGGTTGCTCTCCCACATTTTAGCACTGTTTTTTCTTCTCTCCTGGATATGCTTTACTCCTTGTTCGTGTCCTTTTAGTCTTTTCAGGCATCTCTTTGTCTTAGGAACTCCAATAAACCATAGTAATATCAGAGGGATTTTATTTCCTTGAATTGTGGAAATGTTCTTCTGGATTTCCTTGCATTTAGGGAGCAGTAGTGAGTCATTCCAACCTGTACTTGATGCTTTTTCTGACCAGGAACGTGGACATTATGTGAGGGGATGACCTCAGGTTTTGCAGTTAAATTCTGGCCTCACTTGATGCTCAATGTGATCACAGCTGTGGGGCTGTGTGGAGGAGACAGCATACTCGCGGAGCAGCAGTGGTTTTGAAGGGATCACACGGCAGTCACACGTCTAATTGCATCAGTTAAATTATTAAAATCTATTGATGATCAGATCTCTTTGGATTGAAGCTGACAGCTTGGCTCACAAGGAAACGTCCCCTCGAGGAGGGACATGGCATCACTAAGTGGCCTGACCCTTTTTACGGAGACCTCTTCGGCCACCTTAGAGCCATGGAAAACCAGGTTAATTCAGCTTGGAAGGGACCTCTGGAAGTGTTTGGTTTAAGCCCCACTCAGAGCAAACTGCAGTTTGATCAGGTTGCTTGAGGTAATGCCGCAGGGAGCAGGGGGAGCGAAGCCGCCCCGTGATTTTGGTGCAGAGGCCAGGCTTGGAGCTGTGAGAAGATGAACTTCAGCGAAGCTCTGTAGCCCGAGGTGGATGGTGCTCATCGTGGATAAGAATCTCCCAGTCTTTCTCATCCTCTCTTAGTGGGATTAGCTGTCTGGTGAGCCAGGTTTGCTGCAGGAGGAAGACTTCGTGCTGAGATAAGATCAGCTACAGAGAGACTCGCTTGATGGAGCTGAGTCGTGGTTCGTTTTGTGCTTTGGCTGATACCAACAAGTTGCCTACACGGAGCTGCCCTGCTGGGAGGCCTTGCTGGAGTTCTGAATCTCATACGCCTTCCCGAGTCTCTGTTTTCCTCACTTGCCAGTTTAGCCCACTTTTATTCCCCAGATCGTGGCTCCAGCACTCCCTGTAGCTGTTTTTTCCTTTATGCTTCCCTTTCATGTACGTACTACTTAAGCAGCACATGGCCAGCAAGCACAGAGCTCTGCACATCGTGGGGCTCTGAATTTTGTCATGGTTTGTTTAGAGGGACTTTAAGGAAACAATTTCCTGCAGGTTGCTTGTAGAAGGAGCTTGCTTTGGTTCATTTCTTTGTATTCAGTTTACTTTGACTTTTACCCGAAGTGCAGATGGACATGGACAGTATCTAGAGATGGTCAAAAGGAGAAATTAAACTGCTTGCAAATGCTCTCTGCAATGTGTTTCTGCTCGGAGAGGTAATTCCGTGAACTTGACCTGGTTGATCTCCCTGAGAGCCAGGTCTGCTGGCGTCAGTGGGGTGGTTTCTGGTGGAGTGGTCTTCCTGGCTGCTCCCCGAGGGAACAAAGCCGGTTTGGGATTTTATCAGGAGATTTTTTTTTTTATTTTTTTGCAAGTTCTAATTGCAGGAATACCTCAGGCTCTCCTGTGCCTTCAGGACATGGTTGACAGCACTGCACAGGTGTGACTGAGATACTGATAAGCAAGCGAAATGATCTGGATGCAGAAATTTCCCAAAACCAGCAATAACATAATTTTGCTGGGATGACAGATGGAACAAAACTTTGTCAATACAGACGGAGAATGCTTTGGAAGCTATTACAGGTAAGAACGCCGTGTCGTTTCTTATGTCTTGATGCATGGTGCACATACATCTGTGGCTTTTTTCTGATCCCATGAAGAATCTCAGGAATATGCCTTCGGACACGTTTCTGCTTTATTTTTAAACTTTGGGCATAAGCTAGAATGTGCAAATTCAGGCTTACAAAGATCAGATTTGTCCTTTTAAAAAGTCAGAGATTAATAGAGAAACTTCCTTTTCCCCTTGAAAAGTGCCCTCAGCTACCCTGGACTGGCTCTTGGCTGGGACATTCATGACTGGAATTGTTAATCAGTGTTTAGCTTTGCACATGAAAAGCTGATATTCTGCACCTCTCTGGAGGAAGAGAGGCCAATGACCATTTTAAAACCAGTCCATTTACAATCTGCTCGCTATTTCTCCCACTGATGCTCCTATCTTGCATGTGAAATGAACCAGCTGTTCCCGGATCTCACAAAATGAAGAGCAGACTTGGGGACTGAGCGTCAGAAGATTGTGTATGCTCAGATGTGCTTAGGGTGCTCCTTTATTTCAGCCTCCTTCACTAGCCTAAGGAAACCTAACTGTGTAATTGTAGAAGCACCACGATACCAGTAGTACTTCCCTGTATCTATGTACTCTTAACTGAATCAAAAATAGGTGATCAAAACCCCAGATTTATTTTTTTTTAAGAAAAGCATGCAGCTTAGGGGTAATAATAAATAGTAACAGTACCTATTAGCAGTGCTTAGATTGTGAAGGTTGTAACACAGCTGCTTTTTCACAGAAATAGACTCTGAAGTAAATGATAAAAAGATCTTAGTGGCTAGCATCAGAGTGGGATGTGCCAGGCAAAAAGCTGCACGATTTATTAATACTTATATCTGTTAAGAAAATACATTTTTGTTAGCCCTTCTCATCATATGGTTTCAAAAATTTCCATTGAAATCGTGCTGTAGAATAAACCTGTTAAAAAGAATTGACTTCTGTGGCACAGCATGCCTTAAAATTTAACCGAGAGTCAACATGATAAAAAAATTGATCAGTTCAGTGAGCACATTCCTGTGCCTCAAACTGAAATGTGCATTCTGAAGGAGCATGGCCTGGGAGTCGGAGATCTACGAAAGGAACAGACCTGCTAAAAGAATAACGTTTTGGTGCAACAAGCTGATTTGCTTAACAGCTTTCTACTGCAATTAACATATGCAGCAAATGCATTCATTTAATGTGACAGTCTGCTCAAATAACCCTCTTGCAAGAATGGGATTATGTAATCTGGAAATAGCAGAGATTAAAATTATTGAATATCTTGTTTATCCAGAATGCCAGCAGCACTGCCCCTCCTTTTCTCTGTACTCCATGCTGACTTGTAAGCGATCTGCATGGGCTCTGGTATCCTCAAATTAAGGAACCGAGAGCACCGTTGAGCACAGGACTGCTGCTTGGAACAAAAGAAGCTGAAAGAAACCCTGAGGAAGAGAGCTTGTGCTTCGGGACTGGAAGTGTGCAACCTCCTCAGGCTTGGTGAGTTGGCAGTCACCAACTGGTGCTACAAGACTGAATCTAAGAGAGTGCAAAAGGCAAGGCATAAAGAAATCCAGGGACAGGGTGTGCGGCCAGGGATCAGCCAGACCCTTGGGCTTGGCTGATCAGTGCTCAGCCCGTGTTCAGCTGGCTCTGCTGCATGCAGCTTCTGCTGAGAACAGTGCTTAAAATACATCCAAATTGGTTGTACCTCATGGTGAGAAACAGCCAAGTGGAAAGGGAGGGAGTTCTGCTCGCTGCTGGCTGAAGGGGGAGCAGAAACGACGGGCCCAGCAAGCGTTGGCCGTGGGGAATCGGCATGGACAGGGCTCACCAGGTGGCAGGCAGCAGAGCTCTGCGAGGAGCAAGGAGGTGATACAAGCTGCTCTTCTGAGCCCCAGGAAAAGGTAGTGGAGGAGCTGCTCCCTCCCCCGGTAATTGGATGACTTTCATTTCTGCTTGATTTAATTGACTTGACCTCCACAGGAGCCGGTCTTTGGGCTGTTGCCTCGTTTGCCCCTAAGATCTCTCTGCAGCTACTGAAGGATGCGCAGAGGAGAGGGGCAGGGTGCTGTGTGCTCCTCCAAAGGCTGGGCTGAGACGCAGGAACCTTGAAATAAAGTCAGAACACAACCTTGTAATAAGAATTCATCTGTGAAAACAGACTTCTCCCTGCAGCTGCTCAATGGAGCAGGTGAAACACAGAGCTGGTGATGGCTCTGCCCTGCACGCCTCTGAGAGGGCTCAGTCGCAGAGAGCTCGAGGGCACTCTGGCTGCTGAGCTACGAGACGAGCTCCAGCTTCAGCTAATTTCAGAGGTGCAGCAAATTCCTCTTCCCAGTGCTTCCAAACGTGGGGATTGATGAAGAAGAGGTTCTGTGACTTCTGAGGCTGGTGTTCACTGTTACGAGTACTGACAAGGTATTTTACTGTTTCACACAGCTACATAACATTTTGGTTTTCTATTCTGAAACAGAAGTTGTTCGTGTCCTTTTCTGGAAATAGCTGCCACGTAGTGCAGAAAAGAAAGAAATAATTCTGGGTATCAGCATGACCAACTGCTGAATGTAGGAAAATAAAACACAAGCCCAAATGGGCAGCTTCAAGAGCCTGGAGGGGTCAGGCACTGTCTGAAAAGAGCTGATTTCTCACTGGCTTATACTTTGGATTTAGGAAGGTCAGTCTGGCTTGCGTCACAGCATCAGACTGATCAGTGCACGTTCTGAAACAGCCTTGTTCTGTGCATGCATTAGCCTGCATCAGCCCATCACCGAGGCTGTCTCCTTACATGAAGTTTTAGAGGACTGCAGAATGCCCTTACGGCAGAGATGGGCTCAGATCAGCTCCAACCAGCAGAGTGCCCCCCGAGCTGGTTAATTTGTACTATATAACTTTGTCTAACATAGGCATGCAGAAAAATGTTTAACTTATTCTGATTATTTGGGAACATGAGTGATAAAGTAGTCTTTGATATAGTTGTGATTGCACTGAATGTGAAATAACGTGCTGCTTTTAACCAAGGGAGTTTGTAACATCTTTTGTGCCCCGCGCGATGGCAGGAAGGCACTTCTCTGCTTTGCCTAGTTTATTGCTTTCTCTCTCCCATGAAGAGATTCTCGGTATGAAAGTATCGCTAATTTACCAATGTCGTGAAAGGAATTCATCCAGAATTGCTTCAGAGAGATGTTGAAAATGATCAGCGTGGCCCTACGCAGGCAGTAATAGTACCCTACAATGTTACCCAGGGGGCTGAGCTAGCTGAAATGAAAATTTAACGCAGTTGTTAATGACTTGGAGGATCGTGATGCCATACTCTTTTTGAAGCATTTGAGTCTTTGGCAGTGCTGGAAAGGGAAGTAAGTCAGCCTTGTTCTGGTGGCTTAGGATCTGCTTCTATCTCACAGATCGCCTAGGAGATTAGAGGAGAGAAGCCTGCCGTGCACTGAGCGCTGCAGTAATGGGTTCTCCTCCTTAATGCTTCAGGAACGCTTCCATGCGGTGAGGTTATCGTCTGGGCAGATTTTTAGAGTATGAGAAACTTCTTGACCGTTTTTCTCTGGGAGTTGCAATTCTGCTTTGTATAGAACAAGCCTCAGGAGCCCATATAAGAGAAGGAAGCTCTGTGTGCCATTGATCCCCAGCAGAAGAAGCTGGGAAGATGTGGTCTAGGCTGGCTGCACGTGCACGTACAGAGGGCTCGTTCCCCTCCTGCCTCCTGTTGGACAACTGCAGAGCAGAGGTTGGGGGTGCAGAGCAAGGCGGGGGGCTGGATGGCTGGGTAGGATGGATGTAGCCCACTGCTCAGGAGCAGGCTGCATGAACGTTTGTAAAATGGTGAAGAGCAAAGTGAGGATCCAGATCCTCTCCCTTTTCATCCAGTAAAAGGACCCTCTGCCGTGGTCAGCACTGCTGGCAGAAGCTCCATTTAAAATACCTTCCAGAAGAGACTGTGAAACATGTAGAGACCACAGCACACCACAGTATCTGTCGCTTCTTTTTTTTTTCCTAAGAGTCCGGGGAACTCCTTAAGAGGTCCCCAACCCTGGAAAACTTCCAAGTACTCCTAAGAGAGCATAATGAGGCTTTAGCTTTGAGGCATCGCGTTTTCGAATGGAGAAGGCTGTTTCCATTCTTGCCAGAGGATTTGGCAGCCGTTGCATCTCGATGGGACTGTCACCCATTTCAGTTCGGCAGCACAAAGGCTTCTTTCAGCCCGCTCTTTGTAATATAGGATGTGCAGATGGGTGTCTGGGCAGCACGGAAAAAGCTTTTGCTGAGGGCTAGAGGACGAGGAGAGCAACCAAAGAATTCATTTTTAGTCCCGTTCTCTGCACATTTTAAAAATGACTGCATTGCTCACTGGTGTTGCCTGTTGCCCGGAGAGCTCCGGGTCACCTCTAAGGCAGTAACGTCGTCGCTTCGACATGCTAAACTTGCAGACTCTTCAGGCTGCGGCACCCGAATTTCCCTCAGGTGCACTGAACATTTCAGGTGATGATTGACCGCTCTCCCTGATATTTGTATGATTATTAGTCTCTTCTCTGTGTGCTATTCAGCGGACAGCACCGATCGTAAAAAGCAGATAGGAGCAAGTTGGGCTGCTGCCCCTGGTGGGTAGGAGAGAGGATGGGCTGATTGATGACCCTTGGCTGTTTTCTGATGTTGCAGTTGTTTTTTATGATGTCATTAGGAGGCTATAGTCACATTAAGGAATCCCTCATGACATCATAAAGGACTTGATATTTCGCTAATGTTATTTCAGCAGAGTGAAGCTCTGGCATTTTATAGTCTTTGCTCTCCCCACAGAATTAGGAGTTGTCTAACTACAACCTGGAAGAAATGCAAAAATAGTCAAATGCCGACTTCAAAAGTTATGGTTGAAGAATGCTAATATATTTGGCTCTTTCTGAGCGCACAGCACCTTTAGGTGGAATACATGATGTGTTTATAAAAGATGCCATCAGTGAACACAGATCCTCATGCAAAGGAAGAAGCAGGCGTGCCTTCCACTTCTCTTTGATGCCCAGCTACAAAAGTTTTGTGTTGTTTTTTTTTTTTTTTTCCTGGAGACTTTTTGTAATACCATAAGAGGTAAATGGGCCGTAGAACGGCACCGTGGCACTTCATGGACTTTGGCAAAAGAAGACAGAGTTGTGGTGTAATGCTGAGATCAGGAGAACACTGGCAAAGGAGCCAGAAGCTCTCATGTCCTAGCGCACAGATAAGAGGGGAGTGCTAAGCCCTGTGCTGAGCAGAAACACAAATTTGAAGAGGTTATATGAAGAGGTGAGAGCTCAGCATCCTCCTTGCAGGAGCAGACATGTCCCCAAGTGAGCCTGCTGTCAGCTGAGGCTGAGGGTCTGGGAAAGGAGAAGGAGATTGGAGCACCAAGGGACAAACCAAATTCTGGTTTGGTTTATGGCAGTATGAAGGGATCCCTCTGCACGGCTCTGGGCAGGTCTCTCCTGCTTTTTTCCCCAGTGCATTTAGTACTGCGTCAATACTGGAATGGTGCCTTCATCTGTCCCTTCTCACAAAGGAAACACAACTCTGGCTTTACATTAGTTTTCTTGGTGAAATCTCTCTCTCTGAGAGTTTCCAAAGCAAAGGAACTTACTTTTAGGCTACATTTCTATGAATTCTGTTCTCTTCTCTCTGGTTACCCCAATATTTGTGTCCTAACCAGCAATAATAGGATGCATTGCATTGTGTGGTGGTATCCAGATTCCAGCACTGAGCGCTGGGAATGCTCAGTGCTGGTAGACCATCAAGTAAAAAAACAACCAAACAAAAAAAAACCCTGCCTACAACCACTTATATCTAAGGCATTTACCCATGCTTTACACTCTTTAAAATTTAAAGTTTAAATTGTAGTTTTCTTATCTGGCAGAACGTTTAACATTTTTCATAGGTAAATAAAATTGGAATATACTGACGGAGTGTATTCCTTTTTGCCTTTTCTTCCCAAACCCTCCTTTTCCTAGCATATGTCAGTACAGGAAGAGAGTAACCAAGGTGCTTGGGGTGGGGGAGAGAACATTAAGTGACATTAAATCAAAGATAATTATCAGCTGTCAGTCAGGGGATGGCAGAGAGCCAGAGCAGCACTCAGCAGGGGTCTGCCTGTCCAGCTTTACTTCCTTTCCCTTCAGAGTTTGCAAAAGGTGTAATATTTGTCTTTAAACAACATAATTTATTACCAGGTGAATCTGGAATTTTAATACACAGCTCCATTTGAAGAGTGAAAACACCTTTTAATAGAACAGCATCTCTGATGATGCGTCATTTGTCCTTACCATTTCGGTGCCCCAGCCTCAGCCTCTGCATTTGTGGCACTTTTTGTCTCCTGCTTGGGAAGAAAAATATTCTCCGAAGCTTGGAGGGGTTACTGTCACTGACATTATTAATAGAGCTGTGTTATTAAAGTACTTCTACACACCATATGTAACGCTTGTCCTTTTTTAGCGTGTTCTACGTACGAATCTCAGTCAGAGCCCCTGATGTAGCCTCTGCATTTCAAGGGGACTTCAAAGAAGAACTGCAAGGAGATCTTCACCTGTTCTAGGCAAAAGGGAAGAGAAATCAGGATCCTTGTTTATGTTCAGTGAGGACTACATGCCAGCTGCCTCTGAAACCTTTTCTCATGTTCTGTCAGTTCCCAAGTATTGTGTTTGCCCAGCTCCTGCCAATGACCTGGTCCTTTTGAAAGAATTCTAGGATATTACAGAACTTTGCTCTGGTTGGACTTGTGATGGAGCCAAGCAAAAGGATGCATAAAAAGGCCTTCTAAATACTACAGGACAAAAAAAAAAAAAAAAAAAGTTGTTTCTTCTAGTCTTCAAACACTTTGATTTGTCCCTGCATAAAGGGCTGTTTGCGGGGTCTTTGTGCAAATGAATTTCACACCAGGTGCCTCATGGTGACCTCTGGTACTGCGAGGAACGTTTAATGCCACGTCCTTCAGGCAGCCCTGCCCGTGCCTGCAGCTTTCAGGCTGTGTGGGCAGGGGCTTGCTGCCTGCCCTTCCTTCCTCGGTGCCTGCAGAGCTGTGTGTGTTTCTGTGTAAACTGCTCACGGTACCCACCAGGACAGGGGAGGTAAGGACAGGGCTGTGCTGTGAAAGGATGAAGACTGGAAGTGGGTTCCTGGGCCTCCAACCACAGTTTTCTGCTAGGGGAGGGACCCTCAGGACAACATCAATCAACATCAGTGTTAACTCAGCCTGTTCTATTGCAGAGAGATCTTTTACTCCCCGTCTCTCCCCCATTCAGCTCTCTGAGTCCTGTCCTTAGGTCTGAAGAAGGCAGGAGAGTCAGGCAAGGCGTATTTGTCTCAGAAGCATGCCGGGAGCTGAAGCTACCTGAAGTCTTGCTGAGCAGAGCAAGACTTCCCCAGCCCTCGTGGTTCCACAGCTCTGCCTCTGGCATCGCCCTGCTGATCACCATAATGCTAAGACTGTGGTCCTTTAACATAACCCCCAAGGCAGCAGGTTTTAATCCTTGTCAAGGGTACAAAAATGCCTGTCTGAGAGGCTGCCATCAGCCCTCTTCTGGCTGCAGAATAGTTTGGGCTCCCGGAGAGCTGCCATGCTCTCCACTAACAAACCCACGCTCGAGTCTGTCCCTGGCTCTGTGCTGCACCAAAACAAAACTCAGGCTCTGCTTGGAAGTGAAAGAGCCCTGGGGAACGGTGGATACGCTGCAGTGTGCTCTGCTGCTCCTCTCTTGCTTCGTGGCTGGCTTTGCCTGCAAGTAGGCTACATGCATCCCAGGCATTGCTCGCCAGCCCTGCTGCCCTGTCCTCAGCTGAAGCCAGTCCCCTCTGCGTGATGCTGCAGTCGGTGCCCTACCAGCTGCTGTGATCCTGCAGGCAGAGCGGGGCTGCAGGTAGCAGGTGACAAGCAGGGGGACACAACCCCTGAGGAGCAAGCAGTTTTACTCTGTGCCTTGACAGCGTCACAAACCTTGAAGATGAACACAAAGCAGAGTCCTCAGCGGACGTCCTGGCGCTCAGCGTTTCCCAGGGTCACTGGTGGCTTTGTGATCCCTTTATTTTTTAAATGCGTGCATGACTGACTCCGTGTCTGTTTGCCAGGCTGCACCACCCTGGACATGCCTGGAGATGTCCCAAAGGAGGAGGTGGGAAAGGGGGAGTTGCCTGCAGCCTGGGATAGTTATCTGCTTGCTTTGAACAGAGCAACTGATCTACCTCTGGGGTTTTGCTTTCACACAAGTTCATCCAGTTCACCTACTTACACGGCTCGTTATTAATAGAATCGTTAGCAGGTTCACTCCACAGCTTGTAGGGAAGGTGTGCACATGGGTGGCAGCTGAAGACAGAAAGTATCTGATTATATCTAGTACTTATTTGGCTCATCTTCCCAGGTGTGCTGTTCTACAGATAATAAACCAGGCAGCTTCACAGAGGGAGGTACAGGCACACCCTAGCTGTGGGCTCCGGCTGTATTCCAGCACCCCAAGTGGGGTACCCGTGCTGGTGAGCACTCAGGGCTGTGTCTGCATGCACAGGGAGCTCACACATGGCTACGGGGAGCTGCAGAGGTGGCACAGGTGAGCAGGTTTCTTGCTGAGCATGAGGTCTTCAAAGCCACCGGTGTCCTCAGCCCAGCGCTGGCACCAAGCTGCTTTGTTGGCCATGGGCACGTCCTTCCCTTCCCAAATCCTCTTGGTCCCTGAGTCTGTCCATTTATGCCTAAGCTCATGGTGCCGTGACATGGGTATATTAACATGAGTGTACCTGCCTAGGTGCCAGCTGATGTGTAGATGTAACCTGGAGCACGATGTCATGGAGCAAAACTCAGGGCTGGGGTGTACACACGGGGAATGAATCCTGCAGGCTGCTCGTGATGAGAGGTTGCTCTGGAGCAGGAGGAGGAGGAGGTCAGTCATGGAGCTGAGAGCTCTGCGCTGAGCTCTGCTTGTGACACGTTGTGCAGCATCTGTGGTCTTCCTCCAGCAGCGAGGCTGAGCCCTGACACTGAGAGAGGGGAGGTTTGGACTTCAGCTGGAGGCAGCTGAAGAACAGAAAAGAAGCAGAGGAAAGAAGGTCTGAAAACAGTCCAACTTCCCCACCAACCTCAGTGTTATGAACACGAACTGCTTCAGCCGGACTCCGCTTTTGACCTGCTCTACTCCATCTAGAAAGGAGCACGTAAGGGTGAGCAGTTCATTATTCCTGAATGCTCCATTCTGCCCTCACAGGCAGATACTGATCTTGATTTAGCTGTTCAGCCATGGATGCCTTTGAACTCAGACCTAGCAGAGAGGGCTGAATCTTTTCCATCTGATTCATATCCAGAGCTTCTGCTATTTACTCAAGCCTCTCGGGTGGAGACATTGGGCTGGAGAGCTTGTGGGAACAACTCCCTTCAAGTTCTAGCTGCAATCTGAAAGCTGTGGTGTAGGAAGAAAAACAGGGTAACCAGCTTGTCTTCAAAGTGAGCCTTTCTTCTCCCCAAAGCAAGTGTAGTTCTGACCCTATTTAACACCAGCTCTCTCACACAGGATGAGAGGTTAGTACATGCAGGGTTTCAGGCTCATAGAACAGCTTTGCAAGTCCTTCTCTGCTTGATTGGGACAGGTACACGTCTTTAATAAGCACTTTCCTCAGCACAATTACAGTAAGGATGGCAAGTGATATTTTTTTTTCATGTGGACTGCCAAGTTTTCATGGCAGTCGTGACACTTTTGCAGTGTTAGCTTTAGCAGTAACGTGCTCCGTGCACCGAGTGACCCTCCAGCAAGTTAATGCTTCCGCATCTACCTCAGAGGGAGCTGGCTGGAGACCTCTGGCCAGAGCAGCACTGTTTTAGCTTGTCGGGATGGCTTCATTAGAATTTTCATTGCAAATTTAGTGTGTGAAATAAGTTTGGCTTCCAGCCTGGTGACTTGTCTCAGTCACCTATGCTTTTAGCCTGTGTGCAAGGATGAGCAAGAATGTCTTACTCAGTGGTAATCGTGTCATCTTGGGTTTTTAAACCTCGCCTTTATTCCTGGCAAACCAACACCTAATTAGTTTGATAGTATTAAATGCACTGGATATTTTATGTGTTATCAGTTATTAATGTATGCTGCTGATATAGGATCCTATTTGACTTGAACAAAGCACCTTTTACACTCTGGATGAAGCAAGCGTTACTTTGGTTAACTGCTGGGCTGATGGCGGCCCGATAGCCACCGGGCTGCCCCTGGAAAGCGTCATGCTAACGGACCCGTTCCTTGGGCACTGCCATCGTGTGCCTGGTAGTCACGGACTGCCAGGATATCCCTCTCACACATCTTTGGCCATGAGTTTAGAAGGTGTCGCGGGAGCCCTTCACACTAACTGCATTGTATAAATTTGAGGACTAAGGTCGTAATATTCATGAACAGGGAAAAAAGAAAAAAAGAAAAGCAACGTGCACTGATCACGCACCTGCCACGTAGTCCAAAAAACTGCTCAGACAGATGCAGCACAATGGCTGCTTGCTAAATGTTCCTGGGCAGTCAGCTCCGTGGAGCTGTGTCGCAGGGCTGCAGAGCTTTCTGCAGAAGCAGTGGTTCAGGAATTCTTCAGGACATAAAGCAAGGCCTTTTTCCCATGGAATTTTTTAATGCACCCAGATGCATAGTAGTAATAGCATTGTGCAAAAGGCAGGAGCTCAACCAGATATACTTTAGAATAAAACAAATATTAAAGCTTATTTATAGTGCTGTGCTCTCCTTTCTATTTATGAAGCCTTGACATATTTATCTTTTATTTAGGAATTATTAGTCCCAAACTGGGCTCAGATGCTTCGTCTCCTTTCTGAATTATGAGCAAGGAAAAATAGAAGAGCAATGATGCCCCTGGACTGATGGCTTTACATTTTTAATCTAATTAATTTATGAGCATTTCCAGGGGACTCCCTACTACAGCACCTCAATGTCTGGAAACCCCACATTTTAAGTTTCATATTTGATATTTTGTTTCTTCCTGCTACCGTGGGCCTCATGTTTTAGAGTTTACTATGCAGAAGAGCAATATTAATAAGTGATCCTGCTTATTATGTCAAATAGAATTAATTTCTCCTGAATTACGTGTTGGTTTTGATGGTCTGGTTCTGACAAGATGCTCGCTAGTACCAGGGTAAGAGCTCCCTATTTGTGGCTTCTCCTGCTGTGTGTGAGGCCTCATCCTCACTCTGTTTTCTGTAGCAGCAGTAAGCAGCACATTGATGTGTTTTCCTGCAGCCCTGTGTTGCAGGAGCTGTTTTTTTCTTGAGCTAGCTTTGGTTTCTGTAAGCTTCCAGGAAGCAGCGGTGGATGCAGCACCGTGCTGCCTCCGAGGTACCCAAATCTATTCCATTTCAAATCTGAATTGCGGTCCTCCTTCCCGCTGACAGGTGTGAATAGAGATGGAAAACTCCTGAATTAGCATTTGCTGTTTGTTGGTGCTTTGCTCCCTGACAGAATCAGGCTCATATTGGCTCTTTTTCTCCCTCCCTCTTAATTAATTTTGCCTGTGCTGAGCAAGCGGGCTCCAGCAGGCTCGCTGCCGTGGACTGATTTCCCCGTCTCCCTTTGATGTGTCTCCTGAGAGGGGCAGGGCACACTGGAGAAACTCATCAGAGAGACCTGCTATGGCTTATTTTCATGCTGCCTTGGGCAGAGCTCTTCCCCGTCCTCTCCTCTCGCATTATTTCTCCTTTAACAGCAGCTGCATTGCCACAGAACAGCAGAAGTTTAGAAGCGCGGGGAGCCGTGGGGAGCCTCAGGCCCAAGTGCTGCATTGCTGCAGCAGCACAGGCACAGCACCTGCTGCCCGAGAGGTGTCAGAAATTACAGGGAAGTGCCAGCCTTGAACGGCTCTGAGCACCTTCGTGTCCTTTGAGGGTTTTGGACCGTCTCTAGGGTGCCCGGTGGGCCCGCCGTGAGGGCAGGCCCGAGGCGGCTCGCGCAGGCCAAGGCCGAGGCCTCAGCGAAGTCTCCGCTTCGGCGTGTGCGTTTTGCACCGTGCTATCGGGGAATCTGCTGGAGAGCTGGCTGCTGACTCCAGGGAATTAATGGCTTTTGAAAAATGTCGATGCTTGCCTCTACGTGTACGAATGCGTGTGTGCGGAGCAGATGCCAATCTGCAGCGCTGCGTAGAAGGCTCCCGTCGCAGTCCTGGAGCGCTTGCTTTCGCTGCACCAAAACAAGTAATCATGGCCCGTCACTTTTTGCCATATTTTCCCTCTCTCTGTCTCACGTTTTGTTTTTTTTTTCTTTAAGAATATTGCCAAGTAAATGTTAGATTTCAAATGCCCTCATTATTTAGATTTATTCATGAGATTCCCACTCGGTATTTCTGTCGTAAAAACAGTTCGTGAATACTTTGTGGTAAATTTTTTATGTGAAGTTTTGAAATTTACTTTGTATTAATTAATTATTTAACTTTTGCGGAGCGTTCCTGTTCCATGACTGGACGGGGATGTGCAAGTCAGCAATGCAATGTGAAATGGAAATGCCAAATCCTTGCCAAATACTCAGCTCAGGACTGGGTGACAGTACGTGAATCAATTCTCTTACTCATGCATTCCCATTTAAAATCTATGAAAACCTGCTTTTGTAAATCTTGGCTCAGATGTCTGCAGAGAGGAACTACACCCCCAAAGCTGCAGACATAACCTTATTGTGAAACTGATCTTCAAATTCAGGCAAATAGTAGGCAAATAATGATGTGCTGTACACTCAACACTAGTCTTGCGTGGAGAATCCTCAAAATGGAAAAATTCAGCTGTATAATCAGGGAGACTGTAGTACAGAATGGTTGGGGAGAGAGTGAAAATGAATGAAAAAGACTTTATTCCTCCTTGTTGGAGACAATAAAAACGAACAACAAAAAAAAAACACCAAATTTCTGATTTCAAATTTGTTTGGCAAAGACAGCCCAGGGAGCATCCTCCCATTCTCATAGTTCTCTTTCAAACCAAGCCCCCGAGTTCTCTTCAGGCTACCTGTCACCTAATTATATAACTCACGAGCCTCCCCCCGGTACCTTCAGCTTTCTCAGTACCAGGAGCAGCATTTCACGTGCACAACGACTGCACCGCTCTCGCCTCAGCTGAGTCTGCAGGGCGCGTGTGCCAGGAAGGTCAGCGACTTGCATGGTCCCAAGGCACTTCCTTCCTTTCAGATAAAAGACTTCATTTCAAGACTTGTGTGTTTCCTACTGTCCATCTACTGGCCTGTGACACAAGCAGGGTTTCTGTCTGCCCCGTGTTTCCCACACTTGACTTACGTGCTGCTTGTTTCAGTCGCTCTTCACACTCCACGGTGGCAAGAGGCCAAAACAAGCTTGTAGCAGCCTGACTTCAGCATTAGCCAAAGAAATTAGCACAGTAATTCTGTGCAGCAGGATTCTGCTACAAAAAATTGTTCTCTTTCATCTCAGAGGCGAGGTGATATGGTGAGCCATGCTCTGACCTTTCTTCCTCAGAGCTCTGGGTGCAAACTGTGCTGGTGAATTGGGCTGGAGAGGTGCAGGAGGGGTTGTCCCCACCAAAGGGAAGTGTTGGTGCTAGGCATTTGAGGGGGCAAAACTGGGGGGT